ATTGTTTTTTCTCATGCTGACATAAATGTGAGAAAATTTTATCCAGTTTGTATGTTAATGGAAATTCTTGCTTTGCTTTATCATCACCATTACAAATGATGAATTCGACGCGAACGAAGTCTCTGGTACACGCTAGGGATATTATAAATGATTGAACAAAGAACGGCGTCAGAGTTGGCATGGAAATGAAGATCGCTGTTATTTCATATGTAAAATATCATAGTAATCGTCATTTCGAAGCCAACGTAACGAGTTTTTTCCGATCATACGATATATTCAGTACCTATAAATGAATTGTATTTTTGTTGTTTATTCTATGTTTAACACGAATACATTTTCAATACATAAACGTGGACTTTTCATCTAAAGATATTTTTGTCAAACGTATAACAGATATTACCCATTGTGGCAACACTGTCGTTTTCAGTTCCACACCGTCTTCGATATTCCTGCGCTGGCCGAATTAGAGAAACTGAGTGTTTTATGCGTTGGCCGCAGAACGATTAGTGGCTCTACCGTACAGCACTTGAGACAACGACTAAAGAAAACAAGGACATGTAACGCCCATGCCCATATACGGGCTGCAGCAGAATTTGTTAGACGCCAATTTTTGGAAGTAACGAATGAGTCATCAGCGGGTCATCATCGACAATTTTAGCGATTTTTAATAGTTTGAGTGTAGTGAATTTTGTATAAACTTTATTATAATGGCGATTAGTTTTTCAGCTTTCAAGTGTAAAAGCCGCAGCGACAAGAAAGAGCCATTCCATTTTTAGCGTTTTTTATTGAATTCGATAGTTATTCTTCTGATATTATATGTACTTGATATGTGCTATACGTCGATACTAGTTTTGTACCTTTTGTTAACATTTTAATACTTTTTTTCTTAATTAATTAGTATGATACCACTGCATACACCATAGGCCTAGTCAAAACATTTATCAAAAATATAAATATCTCTTCAAGCCGCTATGATAAGAAAAATGTGTGCTACAGCACTGTTTCTAAGTCCTTGTGTGTATGCTTTATTCATTGACTTGAGACGTAAGAGGAAATCAAATTAGCCTTGACACGAATTTGCCCATTAGGCTGCGTATCTTCCCAATTCTTTCAATCAACAATTATACCTTAAATTAAAAGCTGTTCAGTCAATATTGGTAGCTAGTAGACAAACTAGTTCCACTGTTACCTGGACTATAGCATTATTCTACTAGCATTATTGAGTATTGCTAATGATGTACAACCTTCAGCAAAAAATACTACGAAAACACAATCACGATCTGTAGGGGAAGATTATGATAAATTTCTTGAACCTACAAATATGAATAGTAAATCAAGCGCAAGCCCAGATACTGCCAAACCGGATATCCGGAAAATTGGCTGAATCCAGTCAGAACCCGATTCCGGTTACATCTTCAGTAAAATAAAAACACTAATTCACCACAATACTCCAAAACGCTTTACTTTTGTAGTGGACGCGCGTTTCTCTAACCATGTTAGCATCATCAGCAGATGATTAAAACTAGACTAATATCTACTAAGAGTAGCGGCAAAACTAAACAAGCGATCCAAAACCAACCGAGCGTAGCAATTCATTACCGAAACTAGAGCAATAGGAACTAGTAGTGGGAAGTATCGAATGAATACTATCGAAACATTCGATAGTTGCAATTCATTCGAATAATTCGATAGTTAGTAAGAAAACATTCGTTGAAAACTATTCGAATAAAAATTATCGAATAGATCCGTCATCTGCCTTGAAATATTGTATTCTAGTAATTCGGCAGCAAAAACCATTCATTTATAAAATTCATTCATTTATGTTTTGTTATGAAATTCATTTATTCGTCAGGATCGATTATAATAAAATATTAACTGAATTTTAGTTGTCGCCCGGCGACGTAGGTTTCTTTCCGAGAAACCCGACAGCGGTCGGTGGCAATGCTATGAAAGAAGCCGGCATCTTTGATTTTTTGCGGAGTCAGATATAGATAAGGACACATTATTTTTTTTATTGAGGTGCTAGTATTTACGCAGAAAATACATTATGAAGGGCGCTGTTGCCATATTTTGGTATTAGTTGATATTAGCAAAGACTATTATTGTTTGGTTTTAGATAGTTAGGGATAGTATTGTACTAATATTCTGCATTTTTTTTTATTAATATTCTGTTGTTACACTGCAATAATACTTGTTATTTTGGATGTAGGTAAATGATTTTTAATGTTTTTAAGCAAAGACTGGTTTAATAAATAATAATAACTGTAATAATTTGTTATACCTATTAACAACAAAATTTAAAATCATTTAATATAAATATTTTTTTTAAATAGTAGCAAAATATAAACAACAAATTAGATGTCAAAATTATTTATATTAGATCCTATTTAAAAATAATATAGTCTCTAAATTTTTTGTGTGTGGCAACGTTGGTTTATTAAATAATAATAATTACAGAACTAATTTGTTATATTAACAACAAATTTTAAAATCATGAAATATAAACATTTATTAATTTTCTAAGCATGCAGTGTAATGGAAGGAAAATATAAATAAAAAATTAGAAATCAAAATTATTTATATTAGGTGCTTTATATTACTATTTAAAAATTATATTTACTTTTACTGGCATTTACTTTAAAAAATAAATGAAATATTTCTTCGCAAAAAACTACATGTAAGAGAATTAGCATAAACAAAATACAAACATCGTTAACTTTTCTTTTTAAATTGGCACGTGTAAAACTTTCATTTTAATTTTCTCACCCCATAGTTTGAGTTCGATATCCATTTACTTAACCACATTACTTAAATATGATTATTAAGTTCAACTAATTCATATTATTAAAACATCTAAAATACAAATATGTATTTTTAAAATTAATTGTAAGTTCATCTCATCTCTCTTAAAAATTGCTACTTCTCAAAATTTCCCATTAAAAATAGACCATATACCATATAAAATTAAATAATTGAAAGATCGGACTACGGAAAACCACACAAATTTTCGGAAAAATTTTGACCACCTGCACATGCACACAATCGTCAATAAATAAAATTAAAAAATAACTACTATTTTAGTATTTTAACTATTTTAATAAACGCAAAAATAGCACAGTATTTATACGGCGAAGTTATAAAAATTTGGAAGAACTAATAATGCACTGACGCATACAAAAATCAAACGAATACTAAATTTAATTTATCAAAAGCATTCGATAGTCGTGGCTCAACCTGTGGCTCAATGATAACCATTTAGTCGCACGGCGAGGTTGTCACATATGCTTTAGTATACAAATGAATGAATGATTTTATTCGAATAAAACCATTCGATAGTTGAAATCATTCATTAACCATTCGATAGTCTAATTCATTCGATAGTTCCCATCGCTAATAGGAACAGAGAACTGTAAGAAATTGGACCATTGTCTCTGTTCATACCATCTTTACATTTATTAACTTTGATGAACTCATATGCATCTAAATCATTAATGCAGTCATCATTTTACCAAAAAAAATTGATATCTATAGATGGTAGATATGGCTAGTTTAAATTTCTTAGTTCATAGATTACTTGGTTTTCCACTTACCAACGAAAGGTATGAAATAGAAAGAGATTAGGAATGTAGCTGAGTGTAATGAATATTCTACTTCATTAGTTGATAGATGTTAAATGTTATTAGAAAATTCAATAAGTTTGCGATTTCTGAAAATTCGACTTTTCAAGTGGCGAAGGATACGTCAAAATACACATAGATCACAATTATCGCATATTTGAATAAAAGTAATTACATGCATTTTTCTGCCTTTCTCTTGTGAACTTTTTTAGGATAATTAGGGTACACTGTCATGGAATTTTTAGTCGGCCGACTATTTAGTTACAAAAGTGAAAACAATGTATTCTTATGGAGCTGATCTGCCCAATATTTGATTGCATTACGTAGCTTGCACCAAACCAAACCAAACTATACGCTAACAGGCAATTTTTAATCGGCCGAATATTTAGTTGCAAATTTGTAACCAATGTATTCTCTTGGAGCCCCGCTCACATGCAATCACATAGTTGGCCGATCGGCTCTAAGTACCTATGTATTGTTTTCACTTTTGCAACTAAATAGTCGACCGACTAAAAATAACAGGTCAGCGCATAGACTTAATGTTTCGAATTTCCCTTCATATCATCCATAACTATTTAAAACCGTAAATCAGGTAATTCAAAGTGTCTTATTTTACAAATTAATATTTTTCTTTAGAAAATAAGCGATAATTGTTTTTGGTAGTTTATTTATCAATAGTGTTTGATAGAGAGTTATCCCGTGTTTTAAAATGAATTTTTAAGAATGTCACTTATAAACTTATGTATAGTGCTAATAATAAATTACAACAATTATTAGGTAATCCGAAAGATAAAATACCTCCACTGGAAAGGTCGAGTATTTATAAAATTTCATGTCAAGATTGTATTCAAAAATAAGTTGGGTAAACTAGAAGATCACTATTAACTAGATTTAGAGAACATATAGCTCATATAAGATATAGTAGAGCGGATAAATCTTTCGTTGCTCAACATATTGTTAATAAAGAACTTTGTATGGATATTAATAATTTAAAATTAATTAAACGAGTATCAAATTACAGGCAATTAGATTCATATGACAGCGTCAAAATTAATAAATGTAAATATGGTATCAATAGAGACAATGTTCCAATTCCTTATAGTTCTCTGATCCTATTGCTCCAGTTTCGGTGATTAAATGTTACGTTCGGTTGGTTTTGACTCGCTTGGCTAGTTTTGCCGCACTCAATTTGAAGATATTAGTTTAATTTTAATTATCGGCTGATGATGCTAACTTGGTTAGCAAAGTGCGCGTCCATTGCAAAAGTAAAGTGTTTTAGTGTATTGTGGTGAATTAGTGTTTTTATTTTACTGTTGTAACACCAAATTAATGTTCCAACCCTCAACTGTAAGACATCTCTAGTACTAAATCAAATAAAATTACCTCAGTAGATCATCAAAGTGCGCCTTGTGAACATCGTTTCTTATGCTGGTTAATAAAAAGAACACTACATCATTGGCGAACGACTGGTACTTACAGCCTTGAAAGTCGACCAGTTTAACCAGCGGTTCCTTGTCTGGTTGCGGCTTAATCATTATATTATTTACCCAGAAATCATTGTGGGACATGGTAGCCCATGGTTCAACACCTGGTCGAAAAGCTGGCGGGCCCATATGTTTGGTCATGTGTGGCTCTAACCTTGGAATAAACGGCGAGCATTCTGGTATTTTTTGAAGAGCGTTAAGCAACGCATGGCCGGGTCCTTTCTGACCTTCTGGTGGGCCATTTTTGTTTTCTCCCCCTGGCGGACCCTTTCCGAAAGGATGAGGATGCGGTGTATTGAGGTATTCCTTAACTACTTTGAATTGTTCCGGGTGTTTGATTCGAAGGGCTATGGGGATGGCGTGGAATAAGGCTAGCTCCTTAAGAATCGCTTTAGATGCGGGGTAATCGAAGCCAATGAAACGATCTTCGTTCTCATATCCTGAAAAATAATATTGTTATGAGTTAAGTTATACCTAAAGAAGCTAAACAAATTAGGCAAAGAAAATAAAGTCCTCCTACTCTGGGTGCTCGCTCACCAAGGGATAAGAGAGAATGAAAAAGTAAACGATCTAGCAAGGAAAGGAGCGAGCACTCCATTAACTGGACCAGAACGGTTCTGCTTTTCAAGCGGAAACCAACTTAAAGCGGAACTCGAGAACCCCTTCCGTAACCTGGAGTGGGAATCCTCCAACGGTCTATGATACTCGAAAAAGTTTTTGAAAACTTACAATCGAGAACAATCTTCGGATTTTCACAGGGTTTCTAACAGGACACTGTCTCCTCAACGAACACCTCGGTAGACTGAAACTGAGAAACAACGGCGAATGCAGATTCTGTGGGGAAAATAGGGAATCACCAGAATACCTTATTACTGAGTGCGCCGAGACGAAAACCGTTCGGTAATAAAGTTTAGTACGGATGATGTTGGAGATGAAGAGCTGGTCTTTGTGGAGCCGTCTCAGATACTGGCTTTTGTCAAAGCCCTGAGACTATATGGTGCGTAATCACTCGTTATAACTCAAGAAAGGGGAGCACACAATAGATCTGTAAGGTCGCGGTGATTAATCCCCCTTCTAAACATTCTACATGTAACCGATCAATTATGAAATTCACTTAGAACAAACCAATTAGGTATACAGGGTAAGTTTCCTACGATATCATACTAATTTAATATTAATCATACAGAAAGTTTGGGGCTTTTTGGTTTTACCTTATTAAGTAATTGTTATCAGGTAGTAATTGTTAATTTTAAAGTTTAATTTGATATAATGTCATTTTAACAGAACGTCAACGGTTTATTGTAGACGTATCTGTTTTAAAAAAGTAAAGTGTTACGAATAGTTGAATTTAAATATTTTAAATAGTTTTTTTCTTTATTCTTTGTATTTTTTTGCTTCCGACGACGGAAAGAGATAAACTTTCCGAAACGTTAAGTATTTTTTTCTTTGTTAGGCAAATTTGTATAACTGTAAACATAACTTCTGACAAGCAGTGTCCGTTTAGGTTTAATGCCCAGAAGTGTTTACAAAAAATAACTATTTTATTTTGTAGATTTTCTTGCAGTGCAGTGTCGAAATACCCATAAGGGATTTTTTTGGAGAGATGAATCCGCCACATAGGTATAGACATTTTTTACATAAATGTATATTTTTAAAACTGAATTACTAGCTATTCTCACAGAACGACCGGTCGACTTAAACTTCTCCCGTACCGCCTCTTCGAGTGCCTCTCTTAATTCATAAGTTCTTTTGTAAAACTTGTTTGATAACCATACCGCACCAAAAAAAAATCTAAAATGGATAGGTGAGGTGATCGAGGAGACTCATACAATTGGTCCACCTCTTCCTATCTCTAAATTTGGAAATTATGATATCAATAATTTTTAACATTTCTTTCATTATGGGGGAGTGTGCCATAATGAAAGTAATGTTGGAACCACTCTATTGATGCACGAGTATCTAAATTTAACTTTTCTAACATGTCTTGAAAACCGTTCTCTAAAAAAGGTAAGTAACGTTCACCGGTCAACGTATCCTCGACAATGTATGGCCAAGAAAAGTTGAATCAAAAATCCTACTAAAAATTCATATTTGCAATTTTTTTGTTTATTTTAATTTACAAAATTTGGACAGTTTCACATTTCTGAGAACAACGATGATTGAACTTGTTTCCATGGCTAACTAAGTGAAATTGTTTAAAAATGATAAGAATTGGCTATATAACTCAATAATTTTTCGAAAAAAAAACATACTTATTATAGCTTATATCGCTGAAAAGCTTAAAAAATGGCGCTTTTTGATGTTATGGCCAACTATGGTTTCCATTTAAAAAAACATATGTTTGTGTCATATGTCAAAAATTAGAGGCTTTAGAAAAAAAACGGAGGACACAATCTCATTAAGGATATGATTAACTTCAACTTTTATTTGAAAACTTTTTGTCTAAAATATTATAAGCTATATAGCTATAGATATATTATAATATTATAATATATAATATTATAATATAAGCCATGAACTTTTTAAAAAATCTGAAAGGCGTAAATTTATGACCCCACAAAACTGCAATTCTTTCACTATTTAACCGACCCTATTATCTCCAGTAGTTTCCGAGATACCCATAGTAAAAAACTCAGCCTGTATATTTTTCGTGCGTTTCTTGCATTGCAAAATATTTTTTTTTATTTCTTTATTTGTTGATATTTTTGGACTTTTTTTTAATTTTCATTTAAAAAAACGCTATATCTTGATAATATGGCACCATAGGTTGTAGACTAAATTTACAAGGAAAGAACTTACGAAATGGGAATATAATCCTATATGATCTAGGGATACAATAGCTCTGTAAGGTGATGGTGATAACCCCCTTCCATACCATTCTACATTGAATAATTGTTACAATAATTGATAACGATTATAAATTTTATTGTCAAGCAAAGCAGTAACTCAAGATATGCTTACCTTCTGGAATTAAGTTTTCAAGTAACAAGACCGATTCCTCATCGGCTTCTGTTTGTGTTGGGTCCAAACTCAATCTGGATCCGTAGTATTTCGGATATAATTGTCTACAATCGACTCCGTATTCGCTTGAGAATTTAGTTAATATAGGCAGAATTTCAACGTAAAATTTAATTTCATTTTTCATCGAGAATTTATGCAATTCGGGCCCCATCGAACTCTTTCCTAATGGTAGGCGCTTGGCTACAGCATTGACTATGTGTCTTTGGCCATTTTTCTCCACTTCGATGTCCACTCGTAGCACCAAGCTCAAGTAGTTCTCACCAGGGGCAGTTAGACGAGTCACTTCGACCTTCTTAATATCTCCATCAAGATGGACTATCTTGTCGATATCTTTTATCGAATAGTCTATATTAGCCATTGTGATATATGGATAATCTAAAAAAACGAAAATATTAAAATTATGAAAATATAACACGGGTAAAGTTACAAACATTTAGAAAATATATCTGGAATTATTTGAATTCAAAAATACTCTAATTGGAAGAGTGTTGAATACTGGCAATTTTTTCAGAAAATATATTTAATACCTGTGTTATTATATTTTAATTTTAAGTTAACGCTCAGCCGAGAAGTATTCTGTAAAGGCCGAAATTAGTGAATTTAGGAATTATCCGGTAAATGACGACACATCCGCACGATTATGTCATTATAGGTGTATTAATGGAATCCCACTGAGGCATGCCGAGAAATACAGATAGTTTGGTATAGTGAGTCATAACTTACATAAGTTAGTCTCTGTTATTACTAAAAAACTCAAAGAACAAACTTAATTTGGTTGGTGATGAGAATAGATTCAATCATGTTTTTGCTGTTGTCGGGTTAGATTAACAAATTGTCAAAATAAGTCTAGGGTGTACCATATCAGAGACCATATTTTTAGAAAATCCACGACAAAGCAAATTTAATAAAAAAAAATAATATACAGGGTGTCCCGTTTAAAAAAAACATAAGTTTAGGTTATACAGGGTCGCTTTTATGTATGGAAACGGTCGATTATTAGGTAAAATATACAAGGTACTGCATAAAGTTAAATATAAAATTATAGGGTTATTAAATGTTTATTGGCGAGTAATAAATTTATGTATACAGGGTCGGTCATAAAGTCGTGGCAGATCAAAGTTTCATTTTTTTAAATAGAACCCCCGATATATTATTGCATATTTCAATTCTTCCTTCCATTCTAAGCAAAAATTGAACATACAATGTACCTCAAACCAACCGTTTCCGAGTTATTGACTTTTCAACATATCACTTCAACAATTTGATTTAATTAATTTTTATATGTTCAGTTTCATTTTAAATTTAAGTATACAGGGTCGGTCATAAAGTTCTGGCACATCGAACTTTTTTTTTAAGTGAAACCCCCTGTATATTATTGCGTATTTCAGTTCTTCCTTCAATTTTAAGCAATAATCGTAATATACAATGTACATTAATTGAAGAATTGAAATGTTAAAGGAAAATTTTGTAATTTCCAGACTTAATATAATCTAATTTTATACATCTATAAATGCTAACTTGAGAACTAATTCTCTCAGTTTCGGCAGAATGGCATCGTTAAATGAAACTGAACATATCAAAATTAATTAAACCAAATTGTTTAAGTGATATGTTCGAAAGTCAATACCTAATTATTATTAGGTATATTATTATACCTCGGAAACGGTTGGTTGAGGTACATTGTGTGTATTTCGATTTTTGCTTAGAATGGAAGGAAGAATTGAAATATGCAGTAATATACAGGGGGTTCTATTTAAAAAAATGAAACTTTTATGTCGGCGAATTTTGCTCTGCGCGTTCGGTTCGTTCTGTTCGTTCGGGCTAAAATGCTCAAGATAGACGCACCTTACAATGTTAAATATAATCTATAGTAAATAAAATTAATTTAAGTATTTTTTTTTGTCGAAATTTAAAAATGTGAACTTATAACTTATAAACATGCAGAATGTGGATAACGCAGGATGTTGTAACATTGCATTCTCTCGAAGCACTATAAACAAATATCCGGAAACTGTGGCACTGAAAAGTTTTTCAATATTTCCCGGAAAATTTCACACCTCTACTTTTCAACCAATAACATGCTTTAATGTTGACTAGTTACCATGGCAACTGAAAAAATTTCCGGAAATTTTTTCGAGGTGCCACGAAACTTTAGTGGAAATTTTTTGACAGTTGAAAAGGTAAACATAAGATCTACAATCATAATGTGAATGAACTACAATGTCTATATATTGAAATATTACCCATTTGAGTTTTAGCATTTGATGTAACTAATTAAAAATATAATAATATTTGTTAATATTATTAACAAATTGGAAATTATTTTAAAATGTCATGTTGGATTAATATTTTTTTTTTCAAATTTAGGTGTGAAATTTTCTTACCGAATACCACGCAAGCTTAAATTATTCCTGGAAATTTTCTTTCGGGCACGAATATTTTAGGAAAATTATGCCTCGTCTTCGACTCGGGATAATTTTCAAAATATTCGTACCCTCAAAAAATTTCCGAAAATAATTTAAGCTCTTGTGATATTATAAGTGAAAATATCAAGAAAAATATAAAATTTTCAACATTTTTTTTCGCAGAAAAACCTCATGGGCGTGTTTCTGGGGACGAACTTTACTACCACTTAAAATACTTGCACTTATTTCTGGGACACCCTGTATAATAAAAATCTTAAATGATGTTAATAGACAAATGTAAACAATTAAATATAATAAACTTACTGAATTTATCCTACGAACATTAACAGATGTGAACAAAATTTAATCTAAATTTTCGTAAATATATAGCCTCTGTCTTATCTAAAACATATTTTCCACTTCTTAACTATCAGTAAAGTTATTGTTTGTAATTTGTAAGGCTGCTATAGTAAAACAATTCAAAAATGGCAATTTGTTAAAATATTTCCCACGAATTACATGTTGATAATAATTTTTTATTGATATAAAATCAGGATAACATTGAAGAATTTCCTTGAGTAAATGTAAAACTGCATATCGTCTAGTTGATTAAACGCGCGTAAGTAGATAACATTATAATAGAAAATAATTATAAATGAATGAGGTTTTTAGTTATTTTTTATACTTTCGGCCGAAAAGATTAATTCACGAGCGCTGAAATCGTGAGTGAATTAATTTCGGGAGACGTAAATGCAATTTATCGTCGTGTATAAAACAATATTTCTTTCCATAGCGGAGTTACGTTTTAAAAAATATTTAGAAATTATTATTTCAGGGAATTTATTACGAGTAGAAAAAATATTGTTGGCGTTGGTTTCTATGTAATTTGACAAATAAATAAAGCTGTCTCTTTAGTTGTCAGTTTTGAGTTAATATTTTTTAATTCTCTTTCGTGTCGATTGCTGATTGAATTGGAGCCAGAAATGGCTCAAAACGAAATGTAATAAAGTTACAAAAACTAATGGCCAGATTCTCGGGTGCCACAGTATGTTTGTACCCAATTTGGTTAAAATTGGTATAGCGGTTTTTGAGTTATCGTGTTACAGACGGACAGACAGACACGATGAAAATATTTTGGTCATTTATGACCCAAGGTCATTTTTAGTGAAATTAAAAACTTTTTTTTGCCGATCTTAATAGCCTACCATACCTGTCGGTATGGTCGGCTAAAAAATAAAAAAGTTATAGGGGTGAGCCACTTTTGAGTCGCACCCAGTATTCAACTTAAAATTCCATACATACGAGGCGTTTCGGAAAAAATAAGAATGATAGGAAAACAATATAACATACGAACGTCGTCAAAACACAAAATACACATAGGTCCATCTTAACCCACACTAAACCAATGAACATTGGACAACAAAAAAAAATATACCAACATACCATGTGAAGGTGATAAATTTTATATTCGTGAAACATCTAGACCCTGAAGAGTCTATTTTGTACGCTGTACTTTCGGTACGCTGTACTTACGCTGTACTTACGCTGTACTTAGGTTTTAAATTTTGAAAATCAAGTGAGGTTAAAATACAATAAAGTAAATTATCAACAGATATTAAGGCTGATGCGACAAACGCCGTATCCAAACTACTTCCATTTAAATCCCGAATAACTTATGAAAAGGAATACCAAATTTTTCAAAAATGGAAGCAATTAAAATTTTTTAATTACTTTTGTGCGAGAAGAAATAAAGTTTTTAACCTCTCCTCGCTGTTAAAGTATAATTTAATCTACCCTCGTGGTTAAAGTACTATGTTATGTATTATTTTTGATAGATATATGGCAATTTTAACAGTTGCTATGGAAAAAAAATATAAATATTATACTATTTCTTATTAAAGATAGATATTGTTACTAATTCTGTCTTCATAATTAAACACTGGATAAACACATACACTAACTTATTTATGAACAAATATTTTAAACTTCTTCAATTTTCTTTTATTTTTCATAATGTTTCATTTTCATAATTATCAGATTGTGACGAATTCATTTATAATGACAGGGTGTTTTTATTTCTTAATATTCACGGAACACACACCATAGAATACTTATCAGCGTACCTGGCAGGTGAGAATTTGGATAAACATTATTGTATATATTACCCTTATTTTAGCAGTCCTAAAAATGTGTCAGATGATAGTTTATATTATAATTATAGGTATACAGGTGCAAATATAGTCTGGCTAATGTGGGACATTGTGGGATTGCCTTGCCAGACTCGTCCAACGCTCGTCAGGTGTGCTAAATTAGGCATGTTCAGTTATACATGTGATTGGTTGTCATCTCTACATAATTTTAATTTACATGATTTATTATAGGAAAAGTATTGGTTTAGGGCAAAACTTGACTGTAGATAAAAACACTTTTCTCGACGCTTTGCGACCCTAGATATCAAAAACTTGGTCCGTCATTAAAAAACTTTATTCGCCAATAACTTTGTAACTGTCTGAGATACGAGAAAGTTGTATGTATTGTCTGTAGGAAATTTAATTTTTCTAACTCTCATATAAAATTAAACAATGAACGATATCAAAATAAGAGCTATATATAATTCTTAGTTAATTTTTTTAAAAATCTTTGGCCGTTATCCGACTTTTGCCAGGCGATGTTTATTGATAAATATCTGTAATATTAAATTTTTATTTTTTTAAGATTCCTTTTAAAGTTGATTAGATATAAACAAGAATATGATCTATATCTAGTATTTTTCGTATTCGCCAGTATTTATTTTGTACTCTTATTCACGGTTGTAACATATAGATAAAAATGATTTCACATAAACATAATATTACACAATATTTCATAATGGTAGATAATCTTTAATGGATAAATACCAATTTCAGGCTTTTAGTAGAGTTTACAGAATAAATACTATGACGGGTGGTGCATCGTCGTTGGAAAGATATTAAATCCTATGCAAATTTTGAACTCTGCAAATATTGGCTCCCCTATACAAGATAGTTTAATAGCCGTAAAAAAACTCATCGGAACTTTATTAGAATAATTTGAACGAGAAAGGGATAGTAATGTTTCCTTTATATCCCTTAAGTGCTGTTACGAAGAGACGGTGAGTTTTGTTGATGGAAATAATAACTGTTTATACAGGGTGTTT